CACCCACACCGACACCCACACCTACACCCACACCTACACCCACACCCTCGAGTTTTTTGCTTCCATATAAAAAATGAGTTTTTAACATTTTTAAAGATTTTCCAAGTAGTTTTATGAATTTTTTATCTCATAAAAATGCCTTAAAAATTTTTAATATATGTAGATTGATAGAGTTCGACAAGCTCTATCGAACTATATAAAAATATCCAAGAAAACATTTTACTCCATTTTTGAACTACTGCTGCCTTAATTTTTTACGTCAAAAAAAAGTAGAAAATTTCTTAAGTTCGATATCAAAAAGTTTCGATAACCCTTACTTTTTAGCACCAATAAATTCAGTTTTCGATGAACTTTCATTTGGTATAAAATTCATTATTTACTCTACTTGAAGTTATAGCAGTACCTCCCTGACAAAATATTATTTCCTACCTAGTAGTGTTTTTATTCTCTCCTTTTACCTTAGCACGTTGCTTTTTTCTGTATAATATGTTGTGATTCATACAGGAGAAAGCGAAAGAGTATTTCTTTTTTTACGAGCTACACGAGCCAAATAAAGTATTTCTCTTCTGTACGGTTAATCAAACACGACTATAGAGAAAAAAAGAACATACTTCCTCTTGTTTATATTCACATAGAGAATCGTCTAATAGATATATGCAAATATCTACTGTCACTGCTACATCATTTTCTCAAGTTTAATTCCACGAGCTCTAACGTATACGCCATAAGAATTCTCACAAAGGATATCGTCTGAAAAAAAATATCCCAATTCGTCAAATGCATCAGTGAATGTCATAACAAATGGCCAAGTCGATACACAAGAGATACCACTTTCTGCCGATCATCGTATTAATATAGAAAGCAGTACAATTGATACTCGTAAAAATCTTGTTGCTCGTTTTATTGATTTATTCACTAGATCATCTTCATCAGTGTCGTCATCCACTGGCAATCCTAACGCCGATATTCTCGTCACTACTAAATTTTACAGTTGTGACTTGTCTAACGAAAAGGATGCACATGAATGGGAACTTGTTCATCCCAATGCTCTGCTGATAGCTCTTAATTTTACACACGAATTAGAATCATGGAATAATAACGAAAAAGAACTAAAAAGAAAAATTTATACTATCATTAAAGGATATTTAACATTTCGTTTGGAATGCTTAGAAGAGAAAACAATGGTCCAGAAAATTCGCGACTTATTCAATCAAGCAATGGAAAAATCTGACCCAAATTATATTCTACAAGCTTATACGGCAGAACAAAAATTTACTCACCTTTTAAATAAAGATATGGCACGTAATGTTTCACATGATATTCATCAAGGATGTACTAAATTTGGTTGTGATACTTTGTATACAACAGAAGATGGTATAAAATCAATTGCTAGCATTTTTTTTTATCATCCGAAATTTATAACGCATGCAGGTAAAGTTTATCGTGGTAAATTCGAAAAATTTGAATTAGAACATTATCAAGTGAATCAGTGTATTATGACAAAGACATTTGTGTCAACATCAAAAGATCCTAATGCAGCTGAATTCTATTCAGGATATGATCGACAAAAACGAAAACTTCTTTGGGAAGACGAAGAGAAAAAGATATCAATCTTTTGGACAATTATTATCAAAAATCTAAATGGAATACGTCGAGCCTTGGATATAAGTAATAGATCTCAATTTCCAGACGAACAAGAAGTGTTACTATTACCATATTCAGTATTTACAATTACGAAAAAAGAAATAATCGAACTTGAAAATGGAAAAAGAATTGAAATTGAACTGGAAGAATATGAGGAACACAAATAATATCGAGCGTCAACGAAAAATAACAAAACTCTTTGCCTTACTTAAAAAAAAACATTTATTAATTAATCAAGAATATTATGAATATATTTTGATATCTCTCACTTTTATTTATTTGTATGAGACGTTTATAGATTATAGAAATCTTAATCCATTCATTACCGACAATGCAGATATGCGCCATGAGTTTCATTACTGTGTATGTCTAATTCAACCATTCATAATGCATACTTTTTAAACACACTTGAGTTCAAAGAAGTGTCAGTAAGTAACTTCGTTACGCATTGTTATTTTGTTACACAAATACCTCGAAAATCCTTGCTTTATGAGTGATTGGATTAGTCTTATTCATTAGTGAAACTCATGATGCATATCTACATCGTCTGCAACCAATGGACTAAAACAGTTCCTTCGATATCTGTTAATTTTATAGCTGCAATCATTTTACCACTCCAATATAACTTAGCAAGGACAAAATATTAACAAGTGCATTAGGGAGTGGATGTGGGTCTTCTTTTACTGCAGCCTCACACCCACATCGATATCGACCCACATGCACATTCACATCTACTCTTCATGCTTATTTTATGAGTCTCATTCATTTTCTCAGGTTTTGTGAATATTTAGAACATTAACCTATACCAATGATTCCTAATAGACTCTGACAGACTTTGATAGATTCTGCTGAATGCTAGTGGATTCTGATAGATACTGGTGGGTTCTATGGTTTCGGATAAATCTTAGGATCCATCAGAATTCACCATGATCCGCTTTTTCCTCTTATTTTTAATTACATCAACAATCACAACTAGCTGTTATAAATTCATTGGCTAATATTAGAAGTGTAATCGTGATTGCTTCATTAAATCTTGATAAAAAATATATCAATTGTTTCACGAAAACTATATTTGTCACATTTCCAGCATGTCCAAAATAGGTAGGATAAGCCCACCCGGGAAGAAAATCCTGGTTCTGCCTCTAAGGATAAGACATTTTTTTTTGATCATATCGAATGGGATAAGATGTAGTCAGATTAAGTAGTGGCGTGGCAACAGCATATTTCATCGAGGTTCCACACTTATATGATGTATTTTAAGTCATGCAATGTTGCACACTTTTCTCAACGTCAGCTCCATTAGCCCCTTCGTTCGATATTTATTAGTTCAATAATGTGACGCAGATAAATATTCTTGATGAAATCTATAAAACATAATTTGTGGATGTGGGTGTGAGTGTGGGTGTGAGTGTGGGTGTGAGTGTGGGTGGGTGTGGGGGTGGGGGTGTGGGTGTGGGCGTGGGTGTGAGTGTAGGTGCGTGGTGTATGGTGTGGGTGTGGGTGTGGTTGCTGATTAATGATATACACACACCCACACCCACACCCGCACCATACACCACGCACCCACATCCACACCCACACCCACACCCAAATCCCTCAATGCTGCATACATTAGACTGGCTGCCACTGGTGTGTAAACAGTATTTCATCAAACGAAGAGTTACTGAAACATTCACCCCAGCAGGTCACATTCCGATCCACCTTACAATGATACAGTGAAGAGTGTACCAAAATTCAATACCAATCAAAGATTCCAAATAAATAGAACCATTTTCCATACATCGAGTTTTCCTTTGCTTCAGATGCTTTTCTGAAAAGAACTCGCTTTTTCCTTAGACAATAATTCACAGATAAAAGTGTGACTTTTTTAGAAATAAATTTTTTGAAATTTCGAAAATCTGACTTTAGATTTCTGTTTCTCAACCTCGATTTACTGTCGTCAACCTTCATGAAATATCGTTACTGTCTCAAAAAGCCCTTCGCTTGATCCAAAAGAAAAACAATTCAAAATTTTCCAAGTCTAACTTAAAAGATTTAAGTTCCCCGAGATCGATTTGCTTTCGTCAATCTTTATCATAAAACCACTGTGGGTGGTTTCTTGACCTTAACACAGACCGACAAACTCGCTTATTTCATATGATCCTCCCCACAATCGAAGGAATGATGCTTCCACTGTTATGAAAAAGAAGCGAAACAAAAAATTTAAAGGAATTACTAGTAAGCTCAAAAATAAGATTGAATGTGAAAGTGCATATCGATGTACACCAGAGTTTTAGTTTTAGCTGATGATGAAGCATAAGCAAAAAAGTAATCACTGAATATCATTTTTTCTGGTACTTCTTGCTCATGTATTCCAATACATTCGGGTAGATAAAACGCTTGATATTGGTTTTGTTGGGCGCTGGATTCTGAAAATATTCGCGAATAGCTGTCGAGCTTATCTCCGTAATTTTGTTACGTTCTTTTGTTAATGACACGTAGATGACACCAGACTTTTTAGCTGAATTGGAAATGTCCTTTTCATTGTGTCCTAAGCGATAGACTACGGCGCAACCCATATTTTTTTGTTTTGCCATGGTCTCAACGTACGAGCATTTGTTAAAATGATCTAAGCCACAAACATATATCACGCATAATGGGTATTTGAACTCTTTTCCTGAACCAACCAATCTGCTATTAAGAAAATCTCGTAAATTTTCAGCAACAGGACCGAAATCCACGAATCCATCCTCCCATTCACTTTCACCCCGAGAAACGCTAATCCAAGATGATAGTTCAGATGCTTCATATAGGAGGGCTCCTTCGCAAAGTTGGCATCGATGTTTCGCTGGAATCCATGCTCGATCACCGAGTTTATTATGCACATACGAATCACTAAAAGACATGTGCTTATGTTAATAGGAACAGACATAAAATAAACGAGACGTACTGTGTCGGTGACAGATATGCTCCAAGAACATTCCATGGAGGTTGGCATTCATGTTCCAGGAACTCTTTGACACGCACAAGGTTTTGGAAATGCAATGGATGAACAGGATTGAACGAGCCGGTCGTAAGTAAAACGCAACTGAACATAATAACAAAAGGAGTGAGAGTGTCAAAATAACCAAGTATGTTGCTTAATGATAGAGTTCAGCAATTTCGCAATAGGCAAAAGAGAGTTAACAAATAATTTCGCATTAAAACGGTTTCACTAACAATAGCGCCCATGGCATTGCGATTCAAAATAATCGGAACAGTTTACATATAGATCAGCTTGAGAAAGATCCAGAAGACCCAATCCTGCCTGAACATTCAATCGAATCTTATCATATCAAGACAGAATCTACCCTTATTGCTGCAAAAACTCCGTGGGTTCCACTGGGTGTTTTGTTGAAACTTTTGCGGTCGGAAACCCTTATGGATTACGTCAAAAAGATCTGCGTGGAATTCTCAGAGCTCCAATCATTGGAAAGGATCAGCCGTGTACCAGACCACGCGAAAGCTTCCGAAATCCACCCATTAGAAAACGAAAAAAAAAAGAAAAAATTTGGAATCTGAGAAGATCCTGAATCGCCAACGTTCCAGTTCTGTCCCAAAATCACAAATTGTGAACGTACTTGTAACTTGGGATCCAAAAAGATTCCAATGTTTTATCTTACCTATTGGAATCGTTAAGCAACACGTTGAAAAGTCGAAACCTGAAGATGTGATGGCAAACAATCGAAAAATTTTCTAGTAACCTCCAAAATACTGAAGACATTCTGCAATGATCCTCTCAATCTAATTGTGATCTTATCACACGTCGACAACCTGAAAACTTTATTCCAATTCATGGCGTCTTAAAAGATATCCGGCTTTGGCAGGTATCGTTCTAAATCACTTCACTTTTCTTCTGTTCACAAAAAAGAAGGAAACAACAAACTTACTCACGAATCTCTATGTACCCTGCAAGTCTTTGATTTCGGGACTATTGAGGCTCCTCACTGAGTTTTTCTAAGTCTCGAAGGGTCCTAGAAATCACCTGTAAGCCTATAGCTCTTCGAGTATTTGTGCACCAAGCTAACTCGGGCTCATTCCTAAGGTGTTAAATACAACCAGTTACTCAAGCGAAACTTCTATAATCATGAGTCAGTATGCATCTTGAAAATGTTTGACTTTAGGATCATTGAAAGTATGCGGTTCCATCGACAGACCGTGATTCCACTTGAAATTAATGCTTACAATGGCATATTGAGGAACTTTTTCTTACTAACTGGTCTTAAATGATTAAGTAGTTTTTTCTTACAAAATATTGTTGGAGAGCTTTGGTTTGGTGAGATAAGTTTTGTTGGGTCCCATGGATGTTCCAATGTTTTAATGGATCTCATGGTGGGTTATGACCGATTCTTGTTGGATCTTGACGCTAATATTTGACAACTTCTGATTGTTGGAATAGTGTGATCTTAATGAGATCATCTTTTTGATATATTATTAGGGTGCTGTCCATTGAATGTTAGAGATTAAAGAAGCGTCCTGTTTCTAGCGATTTCTTGTTGTCGAATACTTACGGGTCTTGTTGAATTCCGGTATTTCCTATGATTGGGTTACGATCGATTCTGACCGCACTGTTTTGATCAGAATCCATTATATCTGATTGTCAAATTCGATCGAGATGGATCTTCTATCGTCGGGACAGGTTAGAAAGGAAACAGGAGAATCCAACAGTCGCTTTTCTTGTCGGTTTGGGACTCGTCTTGCAGGGTTCGATGGTTCTCGTTCCACTTGTAGATGGTTATCATAACATCTGAAAGTCTTCGGATTTCCTATATGCGCAGCTCTAGCGCACAATTTTGAAATCTTTCTCGTGCAACAGCCTATTAATTTTCGTGAAGAACTGTAACTAATGTTGGCGATTTCAGAAAACTTCTTTGTATTTCAGCTCAGCGAAATATTATTCTTACTTACACGATAGATGTTTCGAATTCTAAATGATGAGATATGAAGACGAGTGGAAGCTAGAAGTATAAGCTTAGATCATTCGAAAATTTATTAATAAAACTATCTCCCTATACATATATAAGGCACGGAGGAAAAGAAAGCCTCTTAAAATTGTATGACGGTTAGCATTTTCAGCAAATAGATACATGATTTTCCCTAATTTTTACCAACAAAAACTTACTTATGAGGGCTGTTGGTCAAGTGTTTTGCTTCACAATTTTTTATTAGCATACCAATATCCGTATTTGTTGGATTGTGCATCATTGTATTGCCGATATCCTCGTCAGTTGTCGTATAATCGTAACCAGATGCACCTTCATAGACTTTTGAACTGTTCGTAGCCGATATATAGGACTTTGCACCGCTTTCTTCATGAAGCAGAAGAAAAGGAAAGAACTGATGAAGATACCGAAATCAGAATACTAATTCAACCACTATTCAGATAAAACTAAGAATGTACTCTAGAAAATTGTTCTTCTAGGGCTCTCAGTAATACCCTTGCATATAGGAGTGCAGAAATATTGTGATAATTAAGAATTCTACAATGAATAAACGAATGAGCTGCGAAGGACAGTACGACAGAAAATAAGTCTCAGAATTCTATAGTTCACGGAAGATTTGAATCTGTCACATCGCCACTTTCACAAGTACCAAATCAATTTTCAACAGGGTAAAATATAACGACACTATGGTACTATAGCGATGTTAGGAGTAATATCGCTGCACTGCTGTTATACTAGTATATGTTTAGTGTTTCTAAAGATTGAGTTTGTTTCGAAAGAGGCGGAGCTGTTGCGAATTTGAATTCAACACACGAACTCCTCTTCTGTTCAGAAGCTACACTGAAACTTTAATACATTTCGAACGAATCATGCATTTCATTTCTTCATGCGTGCATTCGTTTAATATAAGTTCAAGATAGATGGAAACTGGTTTGATGCGATATTCTCTTGTGTTTCGTACAATCTCCAAAACACACTCGTTAAATTGGTCCTCTTGTGCTAATCTATTCCATCGTGGTGGTGGTAGAATTTGAAAAATTTGCTCATACAATATCTTAAAACGGTACAATCATATGCATCTTTTAAGTTAAATTCTGTACATCTTACTTCATTCTGCCAACTTCTTGTCTCGAGATGATATATTATGCTTGAGAAAATAATAGAGATGCTGGTCAATCGGTATATTCACTCAACTACGACGACTTTCACTGATCAGATCATAGCTATTTTCCTCAACCGATTTCATTCTATGTATTGATTTCGATAAAAGAGGAGAAGCAAGTGGTCATTATGAATAGTTCTTGGCGAACGCTGTCGAACTTCACCCTAATTATGTTTAGATAACAGGCATTTTGTTGTCTATAGTATATCGACACATTCCATCAGTACGATTAGTGAATGGTTTTGTATCTTATATGCCACGAGGATGTACCTTGAAATTGGAGATGGGATCTATTCGGTTTTTGAACAGAAATACTCTAAGTTAAAATGTGTCGGATGTGTCGTGAATCACGACACAATCAAGCATGACACGAGGTGCTCGTTGCGACACATTTTCCCCAGCAAGGGTACGACACATTTTTCCACGACACATCGCGATATCATGGTTCGAACCTAGGCTTCACCGTTTTCATCATTTTTTTTCTTTCACACACTATATTCATTAACCGTTAATTAGTGTAATTAGTATCAGTACCTGATGTAATGCTATGATACAGCCGAATCTTGAGATCTAGCCGTTTACGGCTAGCCCGATCTTGGTCAGGTCACTTCCAGATGGACCTGTCCAAGTGAAGTAATTTTTCCCGAAATATTTACAAAAAATATATAATCGAGAAATATTTTAAACATAAAAGCATTCACGAAAACTTATGATTTTTATGTAAAAGATCAGACTCCTTATATATAGACATATGCGCGGAACAAAATGGTGAATGACTAGTCATGATATATATATATACAAAGCGGTGAAAAATACGACAGGTTAGACTGCGACACATTTTCTTGATGAGACTCACGACACTATAATTCACGACGGAAAAATTCCACACATTTTAACTTAGAGTGAACCGAATCAAACCGAGACAAACTGATCGGTTCAGTTTCGTTCGATTCCTAACTGCGGAGTTTATATCTGTTTTTTTTTCGTTGTAAATTTCGCAATACTGATATACTGAATATCACATAGTTTCGCGTTGATATTTACAAGAAAAAAACGAACGAAAGAGAGATGTCGCTAGCAAAACGTCTGCAATATAATATAGTTTTTTCATAGTAATGTCCATGAGAGACATATTTTAAGACGTCAATGGCATATTTATTAATAAACAGTATATAGGCATTGCTTTGTTATAAATAAAACCATTCCAATTTTATGGACAATCATAAAGAAAATATGCATTTCGAAGCACAGTTTTATGCAATGCGTGTTTTTTTTTATAGCGAAGAAAAATCTATCTAAGCTTTTATTGAGATTTTAGCTTTCTCTTGCCTGCGCATAAAAACAGTAAATGAAAGAGTTCAATGTTTTTAACATTCAAACAAAACAAAATTTGCTACAGAAAAAAGTAATAGAGGTAATGGAGGTAAAATTTTCTATGTTAAAATTCATATAAAAAGTTCACACCCATATTTCTGAAAAGGTATGGAGCTAATGGGGATCAATTCCTTGATACTGGAATTATTGTTAAATTTTACCTCTATTTTGCCGTATGATGCATTATTTCCATTTACAAGCATACCTTTAATTCGTTGGTTACCGTGATACAGTGCGTAATTCGTTTTAGGAAGTTGTAGAGATGTAGGATCTAAGAGTGATATAAAAAGAATCGAAGGTATCTCATGTAAAGAGAGCTTCGGCGTGTATAATAGATGTGGAAGGTCAAAGAACCAATAGAAAAAAGAGAAACCTTACGATAACAATGACGTGCGTTAATGCTCAAATGTATATCATCGCATGAGATAAGAGTGCAGTGAAATGTCTAAAGAATCAAGACTCACGCTATCTAGCACACACATAATTCAACTAAATGAGGGTGCCAGGAAAGGACTTTTATAAATAATGACACACATCAACGAACTATAGGGTGATACAGGAAGGGAGTTTTACGAATCACGATTCGCGCACTTTATCGGCTTAGATAAAGTTGCCTGCAGAGTTCTTTTTCCAATCATGTCCGACACCGAGTGCAGTACACACTGGAGCCGAAGTGATATGTGTGACGAAACAAGTGTTTGAAGAATCGCTACTTAGAGAAACCTGACATTGATGTTTAATCATATTGATGTCGCGCGTTCCACCTCGCATACTTCATAAGTTTCACATATGTGACCATATCTGGTCTAATAATATCCGATGAAGAAACGCACGCAGCATTATCGTCTCTGATTTCTTAGAGAAGATTCTGTTAAAAAGTTCTTGACTGTTACTGTTAGTTATGAAGTATCACTTAAGAGAGAGTCCACGAGAGGACTACCCCAGTTTATAGGAGGAATTGCATGTAAGCCACGACAATTTATGATAAACTTCGCTCAATCGATTTTACCAATTTGGCTCCTATTTTTACAGAAGATAGACCTAACATACCTTGAAAAAAAACTGAAAGTTTTAGCTCCAACGGATCACGTGTTCACAATATATAGATCTTGCAAGCAGGAGGCGGTAGGAATTGCTTTTGGTAATTTTAATTGCAATACTTTTCAGTAAATTTGCATTTTGTCGAAAACAATAAAAGATATGGACGAGATATTTTACCACAAATACTATCAATGATGGGCCACATTTTTATGTTATTAAAATTGTCTTATTGTGAAACACGATCTGAAAGGAGTGTTGAAGTGTTTAGGGGTAGAAATTTGGACCCCCCCTCCCCAACAGACCGTGACAGACACTCACGTGACCCATCACAGACCGTGACAGACATCTTAATTAATTAATCAATTAGTATTTATTTAATTAATTAATTAATTAGTATTTTATTAACTAATTAACCGTCACAGACTTTGACAGACAGGGTTTGGACCCATCACAGACCGTGACAGACAGGCTTTGGGCCCATCACAGACCGTGACAGACAGGCTTTGGACCCATCACAGACCGTGACAGACAGGCTTTGGACCCATCACAGACCGTGACAGACAGGCTTTAGACCCATCACAGACCGTGACAGAGAAACTGTAATTCTAAAGCATCAGATAAACGGTTAGCTACAAACGTATTGCAAAGAAATGGAACAAAACGATTTCCATTTAATTAGTAACAACAGATCCATCGTGTTTCATATGTTTAATCCCGAAAGAGATTGCGCTAACAGCTTCTGCATGTGTTTGTAGCGCAAACGAAAAAAAACAATGGATTGAAATATGTTCATCAACAATCGAACAAGTAAATCAATCACAAGAAAAATACTGTACTTTTGCTTTCCAAACAAGATTTCTCGACGTGACGCCAGTGTTTTTCAATCTGTTATATGACAAGTTGAAATAGAACCTGAAAATGTGCACTGAACTGCTATAGTATCACTTGAGTTCAAAACTGTTTAGTGCACTAGAAGCACTCGAAAGGATCGTCGTACACTTATCTTGCCATCATTCTGCTCGTATTTCGCAATTGCGGAGCGGTGATCAAAAACTAAGTTTGGACCCTAAAATCCGGATACGGGTTAAACTGGAAATTCAATTAAACATTACATTTCTGAGAATTGCAATGCCGATGTTCGTGATCGGCATGGTCAACTTGATATACCTAACGAGTTAGAGAAAGTAAATTTAAAATTTTTTTTTCAAATCCCTGTAGAGGGAGGGCACATAGATCAAAAACCGGCAAATAATTTCAATCAAATTGATCGTACGAAATTTATAGTCGATATCGACCTTGTCATCTTTATATAGTTATTTTGCTGAAGATATTTTGGGTAGAAAAGTGGTCTTAACGTCACCCATTCTTTGCTTTACATAGGCCTTTTCAATCAATCATATCTGAATGGACGAAAGACTCATGACAGTTTAAAACAAGATATTTGATTATGTACTTTCACACGATTTTTTCTTAAGGTGATCTGATCTATATGAAAACCTTGCCAATCTAGATTGATCAGAGTGTGGGTGTAGATACGCGTGAGAGTGTTGATGTTGGACGTAAGTTCGGGTGAGAGTATCTCCTTCACCCACGCCCCATACTCACACTTTCAATGCGCAACCGATTGTTACTAAGAGGGAGATTGATGAAGAACATATTCTCCTGTGCTTGAATCTCACCCGTTGTTTCTGCTGTAGTAGAAGTGACTGTCGAAACTACGTCAGTCGTTGATTCTGTGACTATCAAAGCGGCGGTCAGTGTTGTTGTTGCGATTGTTGAAACGGCATCTATTGTTGTTGATGTTATGGCTGTGGAACCGATGCTCGTTGTTGTTGTTGCGACTGTTGAAATGGCATCCATTGTTGTTGTGGTGACTGTTGAATCAGTACCTGCTGTTGTTGTTGCAACTGTTGAAGTAGTACCTGCTGTTGTAGTTACGATTGTTGAAGAAGCACCCGCAATTGTTGTTATGACTGTCGAATCAATGCTCGCTGTTGTTGTGGCGACTGTTGAAGTGGCACCAACTGTTGTTGCTGTGACTGTTGAATCAGTACCTGCTGTTGTTGTTGCAACTGTTGAAATAGTACCTGCTGTTGTAGTTACGATTGTTGAAGAAGCACCCGCAATTGTTGTTATGACTGTCGAATCAATGCTCGCTGTTGTTGTTGCGATTGTTGAAACGGCATCTGTTGTTGTTGTTGTGGCTGTGCAACCGATGCTCGTTGTTGTTGTTGCGACTGCTGAAATGGCATCCATTGTTGTTGTGGTGACTGTTGAATCAGTACCTGCTGTTGTTGTTGCAACTGTTGAAGCAGCACCTGCTGTTGTTGTTACGATTGTTGAAGAAGCACCCGCAATTGTTGTTATGGCTGTCGAACTGATGCCTGCAGTTGTTATTGCGACTGTTGAAGTGGCACCAACTGTTGTTGCTGTGACTGTTGAATCGGTACCTGCTGTTGTTATTGCAACTGTTGAAGTGGCACCCGCTGTTGTTGTTGTTGTAACTGTTGAATTAATACCTGCTGTTGTTGTTACAACTGTTGAAGCAGCACCTGCTGTTGTTGTTACGATTGTTGAAGAAGCACCCACAATTGTTGTTATGGCTGTCGAACTAATGCCTGCTGTTCTTGTTGCGACTGTTGAAATGGCACCCGCTATTGTTGATAGTGTGCCAGATGAACTAGTGGACACGGAAGCATTTGAAGCTTTTGCTGTCGGTCGAATTAAAAGAACGGTTGGCACAATCACGGCGATCACCACAACCGTCGTCAGAAATACAGAAAGAAGAGCTATGGCCAGAGGACCTAGTTTTCTACGTTAACAATGATCTATGACAACAGTTCTGTTTAGTTTCGTTATACTTACTTGGCGCTCTTTACTGTCACTTCAGTAAAGTCATCGACATCGAACTTTTCATATTTTGGCATTTGTTTTGATATAGCCGCTCTCTTTGAACTTAATGGATCAGCTGATGTATCAGCCTTCCTATCAGTCTTTCTAACAGACTTTCCATCAGTCTTTCTAGCAGCCTTTCTATCAACCATGAATATTAAATAATCAAGCAATAGATAAATCAATGAGTGTCGAATGTAAAAAAATGCCGATTATAGAGCAAAAAAAGTGCTACAGTTTTGAAAAATGTCGTTATCTTTTGCAACTTATACGTTCTGTAATTTTTCGAGATAAAAAGCTTTTTTCTTTTCTAGCAAACAAGAGTCAAAGCTTCGTTTTGACGACTTTTTAGCCAATATCGTCATAAACATGGAGATATAAAGAAACTCGCCAATTCGTTATCACATACAAAGAAAAAGCTGTTTAGTGCTTGTCAATGTTATTCATTCTGTCCACAATTTACATGTTTTGGTTGTGCGTGTGCGTGCGAATCAACTGAAGACCTACAATCATAATGATTCCAGCATCTAATAAAAGTTCTTCTTCATTTCAAATAGTAAGAGAATACAATATCGAATACTTGAATGTTTGATGGAATGACAGAGTTTCTATACCATTTCATGCCTCATGCAAAACTTTAATGAACTAGAATATGATAATAGCAAGTTGGATGTCTAGTACAGGACGAGATAATTTTTATACAAGTTAATTCAAGAAGAGTAGAGCATCTGCTTGTCTAGTTTAATCAGCGAAATGTTTTGCATTAGCTTGCTGTTGATGCTTGGTCTATCAGATTATCTCTCTCATTCATCTTTTCCCTTGTCGACACGAATACGGACATTTTTATGTCTTGTTGCTCATCAAAGCATTTGTGTCATTTATAATTTTCACTCATCAATTTTTTCATTTACAAAATAATTCTCAGATTCCTTCTAGTACTTCGTGAGTTTACCCACAATCAAGATGGCAACTCTTCTCTATATTCATGTTCATCTCATAATCACTATGTATCTACTTATTACTTTCCTATGTTGTATTTATTGTTTTACAATTATATTCATCAATCATTTCCATAATCGATTCAACATTTATATACTCAACATATCCTTGACACTTATGTGCCATTTTATCTATTGGATTGCTGCCTTTATCATGTTACAATATTACACTTCAGCATTGTATGGTGAAGACACACATCTTCTTCTACGTTGTTTGCAAATGATATTGAATTGCCAATTGTCATTTTCCAAAACAAAGAAATGTATAGCTTTATCTATTTTGGGTCAATGGATAACTAGCTGTATACTATGTATACCGACTATGCAAAGTGTCGGAGAGTCGGTAAAAACTATTCTTGGATGATAATTAGTTATTAGAAGTCCAACGTGATGATCAAGTATCATATATCATATTATCTCATGGAAAATAGTGCAATATTATCATTATCAAAAAAAAAGAAAATCCTTGAAATTCATTGATGATTAAGTTTAGCAGCATGCGCCAATGTATTTATCAAGACTCCCATAATATACAGAATAATAATGCGAAACAGATCTTTTTTGATATCTGAGGATGTGCTGAGTTTAAGATGTCTGCCCATTTGTCTTTCTGATATACAGTACTAGACAGAAAGTTTGTGAACGATTTGTTTTGCATATAATTCTGCTAGAAAACTCTTTTGAAGTGCGGATTGTGTTAATAGTATAAACCGTAGTTGTATTTAATCCACATAAAAAAACTATATCTCAATATTGAGTTATAGTAGTGATGAATCGACAACAATACAAATTGTGTTAGTAAGTTGATACAATACACATGGAACTATCGATTAAACTTATACTTATTCATTACGCATAGAATTAAATGTTAGAAAATTGATGCGCAGATACTTATTGTTAGTTTAGTAAGGTGCAGAAAAAAATAGAATTGTTTATGATCAGTCATCAGCGATATTTTCGCTCGATCATTATAGTATTACAAAAGCTAGATGAAGATCGAACTCTTTTTTTAACCTCCGACTGATTTCTTCAATAGACGATTGTATAGTCTACCTCACTACACAAGATTGTATCTTAATATACAAACTCAAAAAAAAAAATGACTAACCTTTCAATGCTATCTTTAGGTAGAATAGTGATTGTCAGCAATGTTAGCTAACAATGAAGGTAAAAATAAATACAATTTTCTATCTATTTGAAGCATTGTGCATCTCAACCATGGTTGAATATCTACGCACTATTCATTGTCGTCGTTTTTCCTGCATTAGCTTGTCTCGTTGTCAATATGCGCATATTTATCCATGCTCATTCTTCATCTAATCAAGTTCAATCCCAAGATCACCCAACTGAAATACAAACATCTGATGCAAAGGTTCACAATTAGCAATTGATTCGCCGAGATACTTATCAACTGCGACAAATAGTCTTCGTGTTTTAGATGTTCTTTGGAGGTTGGAGTTCAGTCTGCATATATTCAAATATTCCATGGTACATCAGTATTAGAAGAGTGCCCTATTATTTTCTTGTTATTTGGACATAGGCAACTCTTCTATGCGAAATCGACAATTTATTTGCATATAATCATAAATTAAGACAGTATTTAAAACGCAAAATTCAACGATTTGGTCAAATATTACATTGCATTTCATAAACTTGCCACATTGCGTAACTAACAGGTGACGCATAATAAACGGACCAAAATTTTTCTCTCTTTTTAAGACACTTTCTGAGATATTGAACACTTCGCCCTAGATGCATTCGATAGAAAATTTTCGCTCTACAAAGCTGTCGACATCGTTTTTCAAATAAGCTTTTTCTGTTGATGACAATTTGAAAAGATGGACGACCCTTCTACCGTCCAACTTCCATTGTCAGAAACAAAAAAATTATTAAAAATACTTTTAACTACGAGGTCTGCCAAAACTCGAAATGTCCTGTAAGAGATTCCATGAAATTCTACATTTCATGATGTAGTGCAATTTTAGAAAAAAACATTTGAAAAAATAATTTTCCAAACAAAAATTAGAAATAACGCAAGAGTTCCATTTCTGACAAGCCCATACCATTGATTGTTTTTAATTCGGGACAATCTAAAGGTTTTCGTTGTTTGATGTAATTGTTCCATTATTTTGTTTAGAATTAGATTCTGCATTCGATGGTATAATAAAAAAAAATGTTCACAGAGCACGGCTGACTTTTAGAAAGTCGAGTTTCGAAAGCGGATTCAAAACAGAATCCAGCCATGTGTTAGTTCCAAGCCTTTTGCTCTATCACGACGTCATAAGAAGCTTTGAAAATATCTTAGAAGCGTAGACCGGAAAATTCTCTATCTATTGATGCAGAATACTTACACTTATCATCGAACTTGAGAAGCACAGACTTATACCAACCGATAAATGTGCAAAAAGACAACAGAACATCACAGTGGAACATTTGAACATCTGTTATATTTTGTCCAACTTTTTGTTGACAAGAAGAACTTTTCCGAAGTATAGAGTTAACAGTCTTGTACAGCGAAAAACTTTTTATCGAACGAACCTAAAACGGACTCTTCAACATCTTAGAAAGTGTCCTTAAAAAGAGAAACATTTTAGCCCATTTATTATCCATCAGCTGTTAATTTATTTCATTAGTGAGTATTTTGAGTCTTCCCTTTATTTCAAATTTTCGTTAGCTCACCTTCTTTCTCTATCCTTTCTTCACCCTCCTGTTCTGCTTGTGTAGCATTCATCTAACATTATTCTTTAACTGATGTTGCGTTTGTCCTTGTGTTTATTTATCTAGATTGCGATGAAAATAAATATAAAGACGCAATTCAAACTATTCATAATATACTAATATTCTTAGTTGATTGATTCATGTTTGAAATCTCTATAAGTTGACTAATTGCATTCGAAAAGATGAAAAACAAAGGTTGCACAAAGCACTTTTCTGGTCAACAGTGATGTAGAACAAGTATTCTCTCCGAAACAAGTAAGCGTGGGCTGCGCTACAGTTTGCCGAAATCCTATGTCGAAAAATTTTAGACATTTTTCTTCATAATGTGAGCTACTTTTCGTATTTTTATAATTTCTGAAATATCTGTTTTTTTTTTGCTTTACATTTAGGTGGGATTTGGAAGCTATCAACATTTTTGTAATTTCTTTCTTTCAAAAACCTGCAGTACATACCTGCTTGTCGAAACGAAAAACAGCTGTTGGAAATTGCAACGTAGTCTCAACTTGATCGGCGGAAAAGAAAACTTGTTATAGAGTATGTGAGCGAAAATTACGACTTAATCGTGTTGTCTTTTTTTGAAAGATTTTCCTTGTATCATTCAGTTAAAAATATCCCTCGTGAAATCATGATTATTTCTGATTACCGTTGTAAAAATCTCGACTGTCCGAGAGAAATTCAAGTTCTTTTTATAAAATCCGATTCAAATCGATTAAAATTTTAAAATCCATTGGAGAAATAATTTATTTTATCAATTATTCCCGACTATTACAGTTATAATCGGATGTTAATCCACAATCGATTTTAATCATTTTAACCGATTAAAATTTAAATCAACAAAAATACGATGAACCGATTTAAATCAAAAACTAATTCTCTCACGGACAAAAGAAGCTCGTTTTTCCAATTCATTTCTTCGCCACCCAATATATTGTGGTAGAAAAAACAAAAGACAGCACAAGATGCAGAGTGAGAAGTTCTACAGTCTACAAAGGACAGCTTATTTTAAAAGTGCAGTTTTTGTTTTCAAAATAGACAAAACTCTGAGCCACTAATTTTTCACATTTCGAAAAAAATAATTTTTTCTGCACACGATGAATTCCTTTTCCTATGTCATCAATTAATGAATCATTGCTTTCAAATTTATCCCATTGTTCGGCCATCAAATATGGCTTTCGATACAACTCAATAAACAAACCATCAGAAAATAAATTAATCTTGTTTGCAGCGTCAAAAATCAGTCGCACTGAATTTTGTCCATTTGTAGAGAAAAAAGTGTAATTTAAGAATAAGCTGTCCTTTGTAGATCGTGGAACTTTTCACGCTGCATCTTGTGGTGTATTTTGTTTTTCGAACAGAGCATATTAGATGATGTAAAAAAATGAATTGGGAAAAAGGAGCTTTTTTGTCCGAAGGAGATTTCAATCTTTTTTTATTGG